ATCTAGTGTACTTTTTTATCTCTAGCTAAACTCTCCAAGCAAATGACTAGCTGTGCTGCAATGAAGGATTATCACGAACGTACAGGAGCCAGGTCCAGTGTTACTGTTCAGTACCCCAGACATAAAGTTTCTCTCCTTATTTAACCTAACTCTATTTTCAGGAGAAAAGTAGAAGAATAAGCCATCATCCTCCTGTCTACAACAACCCTTTGTATATTAACAGTGACTTTTTTGTTTCACATGGGTAAGTATACTAGTTATCAATGTACCTCTATCTGTTCATAAATTCTCGGAGAGCTAAAAGACAAATCAGCTTTTCACCCATTGCTAGAGCTTTTATTTTCAGCAGAAGCCAGATTTTCTCCTATTGTGAACTTCTAAAAGAGAATCATACTTTTTTCTTTATTTTATCCAGAGAAAAGAGAAAAAATTCTTTGGGTTTACAAAAATGGAAGAGAGTTTGGTCATCTGTCCCAAAGCACACTATAAATTTTCTTGGTTGCACTTGTCACACCTGTACCTTTATGTCATTTTTAAAGAATTATCTGTCATCCTCATCCAAATGTAAGCTTCATGAGGGAAGATACCAAGTCTGCCTCATACATCAACATTTTCCCAATGACTAGTACAGTATTTGGCATACAGCAGCCTCTTCATTTAACCTGAAGAACTGACAAATGCCCTTCAAAATCATTCTTGTTCAGCACTCCAATTTTGGAGATATGAAAATAGAAACTGTAAGAGTTGTTCTTGGAAATGACTTCCCAAAATTGCATAACAAGTTAACGACAAAGCCAGGATTAGAATTTTGGATTCTTTATTCCACATCCACATTCTCCATCCATAACACCACAGAGGTTCTTATACCTAATACCCTGGATGGGCAACACTACTGATGAGTAAGATACAGAAAACTTTGGTTTGCCGCCTATCTCCCAAAGTTCTTTATCAGTTGAAACACAAAAACATTCTCATAAATATGCCTGGTTTATGCATACTTTATGTAGGACTCCAAGAACAGAACCCAAAACTAAATTCTACTGCCATAGCAAAGAGCCAACTTATTCTCTCCAATTAGAGTTGATGCACAGAGGCCAAGCCACAGATGCCAGCTGAATTTCTATGGGTCACCTACTGCTAAATCAAAGATTCTGCTAAACACAGCTTCAATTTGTATGGAAATTTTTAAATTATTTTAAAAATTATTATTTTGGGCTGGGCACAGTGGCTCACGCCTGTAATCCCAGCACTTTGGGAGGCCGAGGCGGGCAGATCACGAGGTCAAGAGATCGAGACCATCCTGGCCAACATGGTGAAACCCCATCTCTACTGAAATACAAAAATTAGCTGGGCATGGTGGCACATGCTTTTAGTCCCAGCTACTCGGGAGGCTGAGGCAGAAGAATTGCTTGAGCCAAGGAGGCAGAGGTTGCAGTGAGTCGAGATTGTGTCACTGCATTCCAGCCTGCCACCTGGCAACAGAGCAAAACTCTGTCTCAAAAAAAAAAAAAGAAATTATTATTTTGGGTTTCTTTAAATCAAATACTTTTAAAAATAGAGGTTTTCTCACTGCATGAAAGAAATAAATGTGAGTTTCTCCGGGGCAGACAAGATGATCTAAAACTGGATTGTGGTGATGGCTGTACAACTCTATAATTTGTTCTAAAAATCTTAAAATTGGTAAATATTATAAATTTTACTGCAATAAAGCTGTTAAAAAATAAGTCTGAAAAGCAGTCACATAGTAAAATACTTCATTTTGTAAATATCTGGTATTAAAACTGTAAAGACATTCTTTAATATCCCCATGGTCTTTTAAGCCCAGCTCCTATACACTTCAATCATGGTTTCCCTAAAAGGTCAAAAGTTTTCCCTGCAATTTTTGTAAGAATAATTTAGGAGACTTACATAAATATCAAAAAAGAACCAATTTTATTTATATACCACTAAGAAATACTGACTGGCATGATTATCTGCATAAATAATCTCCAGATATATTTGTTTAATTAAGCATAGTGTTCTAGTCCAAACCTGCCATTAATTAGCCATTGGGTTTTTAGCAAATTGCAAAACATCTCCAAGTCTCAGTTTTCCCACCTATTTCATGTGTCTCTGTAAACCACGGTAGAGCTAAGTAGCATATAATATACTACAAAGAATAGTAATTGCTATTGTCTAATGGATAGCCACTAACATGCCAGACTATTTAGGTAAATTATTACCCTAAAGAAGGTATTATTAGTCTTTTGTGTGTGTGTGTGGGATGGGGGCAGATGAGGAAATTAGAACATAGAGAAGTTCATTAGTTTTACCAATGTCACACAGTTAATGAGTAGCAGATCCAGGATTCCAGTACAGAATTACCCAAGTCTAAATCCTATACTTATTCTCTATTCCTTGGTAGACTTTGGGCTTTTGGTTCTATCAGATGTGGGCATGAATCCTGAACTTGTCTTTACTATGTTAAGTTAATCATCTTCTCTGAGTCTCAGTTTCCTCATCTGTAAAATGAGATTACTAATACTTAACTCAGGGTCATTGTGAAAATTAAATTAGAGAGTACATCTCCTGCCATTAAAAAACATTTTTAAAAACAGCCTTTTTCATCCTTTTCCCACAGAGGTTCCTTCTTGTGTATACACACACACACACACACACACACACACACACACACACATATAAATTCTATGATTGCCTCAGAGCCTACCTGAATAAACTTCACTGGGACTGAGTTCTATCAAAAGCAATTAGAGTGAACACAAACAACATCCCATTACTTCTTTGCTATCAGCCCTTGGCTCTGTGACTGAAACTGTCAACAACAGTGTCAACTTCAAGGGGTGGGCATCTGTCCACAGGAACTGAGCTGAGGTCACAGACTTGTCTCACTCTGCCCTACAAACAGATGTCTAGGTGACAACTCTTAGTCACTGCAAACCAGGGTTAGAGCCAAACCAGGTGGGAAGTACTGATTTTCTTTTCTAATCCTCTTGGTCAGCCCATTCATTCCCTAAGACAATTCCTCACTGACCATAATTCAAAATAACTAGTTTTCCCAGGATACTATTTTCAACAAAATGTCTTCATTTTGATGATATCTGATTATTCCTCAAGAAAAAGGGAGTGTTTCCTTAATAGCAGTTTGTCAGCAGAAACCTGCTTGATTCTGCATATTAGAATGCACACCTTCAAATGTTTACCTCGAAAGTTGCCAGGTAAAAACTGATGTAATGTGGAGCTCTAGTGGTGGCAAGAGGTAAAGCAGCTGTTAGTGTGAGCCAACAAAAAAGCCTAGGAAATCTCCACTTGTTATTACATTAACATGCTAAGATGAAAAACAGTCCAAAATAATCTAAGATAATATACAGTAAATCTTAAATGTAATAGATTTCTTCTAGATTACAAGTTAGACTTCAGTAGATAGCCTACATTAGACATCATGAAATAATTACATCGTCTCAAAAAACAGAACTCAATGCTGTGGTTGTCACTTTTTTATTTTTTACTAAGTTCATTAAGAATTCTATTAATTAAACACTAGCTATTTTTTCACACAGCTAGTAAGAATACTGTATAAAAAAAACTGCTGGACTCTAAGTGGTATGATCAGTGAAGTCCTGTACCAACTGTCCTGAGAATTTAAATAATCCCTACAGGCTGATGAGGTGGTTGCAAGTTAATTCCCACACTAGAAAAGTGCCTTCCTTGAATATCTGACTTCTGAGATATTTTCCAACTTAAAACAACTAAGAATGAGACCTACACTGTCAAAGGTTAACTATTCATTTTTCTGGTACCTAACCTATATGTCTTCTCCATCAAAAGAGCTTCATTTAAAAAATAGAGCTCTATTATGTTCAAAAATTTAACAGAACATAAATAGTAAAACGTGTATAATGTACAACCTGGAGTTAACATTTAAAATTTCTAAATGTGGTGCCTTGGTTAGCTATGCCAAAACAAGTTATCATGAGGGGTAAAATGTTTCACAATATGAAAAAAAAATACAAGAATTCGCCTTTTCATATATAAGCACCTAAGTATCATGTTCCTTAATATCAAAGAAATTTTAAGAGACTCACTTTCCATGAATTACAATAAAAGAAACTATCATATTCATAAATGTATTAACAATGTTTATCTGAAATAAACATCTCAACTTATGGAAGCTTTTCATGGTTTATATGAGTTGAATGCACTAGACATTTCCAATGGCCATATTCCAGGGGCTTCTAAATTGTTAGGTCAAAGATGACTACCAAGCCCTCAAAGGTCCATGAAGACAGATTTAATGATTACCCAGGGGTTCTTATTTATGATGTCCTTCTCTATCCTTCTACTAACATGCTGCCTTTAATATGGCTCCCTGAAGCTACAAAAAAAAAAAAAAAAGGTAAAAATATAAGCGCCTCTTCTTCAGAAGTCACTGAGAATGCAAGAGTTTGTAATGGGAAGCTCAAGATAAAGAACTTATTATTTTCTTTCAGTCATCATCTCTAGCTATAGCATAGGAGATGGAACCTTTTTAATAAGATAGAAACAGCAGGGAAGGAAGTGAAGATGGTTTACTAACATAATCATATGCCAAAGGGAATAAACCAAAACAAAAAACCCTGCACTAATGCAATATGAGACACCCAGAAATTCAGAACCTAACAGTTCTACAGTCCTTTTTACCAAAGACATCAAAACAATTTAATTGAAGAATATTTCCAAATCTGTGAATCTAAGAAGTTTGGCTTTGTACATCACCTTGCCTATATTTTCTTTGGTGATTACCTCTCTCTTTGCTTTACCATAACAGCCCTTGATATGCTGCTTAAAATAATATTTGGGAATTTATTTGCCATCCTTTTGACTGAAACATGTTGATTTTATTAAAGTAAGTTGAGTCTGCATTCTTTCTTTACTATTATTACAGGTAGACTTGACAGACACAGGACCTTTGTTTCAAAATGCTCTGCTCTAGAGGAAACCTTGTTAAATAAGTTCCATTTTACCTGCTGGGCAGTTACATTCTGAAGGTGCTTCTCTTGCGATTCTTATTTTAGCCATATGTTCATAGGATTTCTGTAGGAAAAGAAGAGTTATTAACAATCATCAGTAGCACTCTAGAGAGATGGAATCTTTAGGGACTCTGGCCATATGCCTGATTTACTGGCATTTCATAACCTGCATAACTAACATTTACATATGTACTTGGACTCTAGTCAAAAAGTAATCATGCCTAAGCCCTAAAAAAATAAAATGACCACTGATAGGGTATCAAGATTGCTGGACTTGTATAACATCTTTCTCCATTCTTCCCTACCCCCCTCTCCGTCAGCTCAAGCATACGCAATCAATGTAAAAACCTAGCACTAAAATGTTGCAGTACTAGGTAAGCTGTGGCTTACCAATAACAGCCACTATTTTACACATGAAGATCAACTGCTTTATCATGCTAGGCTGCAACTACTGCCAAATAGGCTCCCCACTAGAGTACAGTTCCAGAAACCCCCCTTACTCTAGTCTAAAGGTGCCCTTAAACATGACGTAGATTCCTTTCAACTCTCAACGCCAAGGGCTCTGCATTCATAAATACACCGGCACAGCATCCTTCACCAAAAATAAAGCTACTCTAAAAAAAATGTTTAAACTTTTAATACGAAAAGATTCTATGTGTGAAATTATTGATTTTAAATTATATATGGGACTATTTCACTTTTAAGAGTGGTTACCTTTTTTTGTACATTAATAACATCTATGACCCTAACCATCTTACAACACGTAAAAGATATAACAGATGCTACCTCTGCAAGAAATATTCTCTCCACAATTGGGAAAGACTCACGCGTGACTTCAGGAAACTAAAAAGAGATGAAATGCCCTTCTCACCTTTTAGATCTTCCTACATGTATAACATGGAAACATTAAGAGAGAATGAGGGAATATTACAGACAGGCATGGAGATGTGCATATACAAATATATGCTATATCAAGGGATGTGCATATACAAATATATGCTACAGTGAGCATAGATCCTTGCCCCATACATGCACACACACACACAGTCACACCAAGTGTGCGCACAGTAAAGGGTAGTGGCCAGTCATGCACACAGAGTCACGCTTGTGTAAGATGTTGCCCACGTGCAAAATACCCCAGCCTCTCACACCTGAGCCAGAAGTCGCTCCACTTTCTCTTGCACCATAGCCTTGAGCTGATCCAGGGTATCAGGCAGCAGATGAATGGAAGGGGCCCCTTTGGCGGATTCGAGAACGGCGATCCTCGCCTGGAGGTCGTTGGTTTTCACACCAAGGTACAGACAAGACACCATGGCCACCACTGACAGGAGGGCCGCCAGGACGGCGCACGGGGGCATGGTCCGGGCACATCGCAGCCCTGCAGGGCTCGGGTCCTCGGATCCCGGCTCCCGGCCCCCTCCTTTCCCTGCGTGCTTCTTCACCAGCATCGTGGCAGGGTCGGCCGTCTCGGCTTCGCCTCCCACCCTCTACACCTCAAATAATTCTAAAAGGAAAGATAAAGGTCGAGTCCTCCAAAGTTCAGTCCCTGTGGCTGCACAACTAGTTGGTGGAGTCGAGCCCGCGAGCGGAGATGGACCCCTGCCTTGCTCAGCGTCCAGACCCGCAGGCGTGCACCATCCCCGCTTTCTTCTCTCCTCCCAGCTGGAGGTGAAAAGCGCCCTCAGTCCAGGGACTGGGTGGCGGTAGGGTAAACAGCAAGACGAAACCCACCCAGGCGGCTCTTCTGACTCCCAGAGGAGCGACACCTCTTCCGCCGTCCCCGAGAGCGGCCGCTCAGGGTCCGAGGGACAGCGGCCGAGGCGCGGCGCGGGGCCGCGGCTCGCCCTAGCCACGGAGGACCGGACCTGTTGCGCCTCTGCGAGTTTGCCTTATTTCTACCTACTCGGCGTCTTTCGGCACGCCGACCTGTTTCCCACCTGCATCCAATGCAAGGCAAAAAGGTTTGTGAGAGCACGCTACAGCGCAGCGCGAAAGGGGCGGCTAAGCGGGAGAAGACAGAGGAAAAACGAAATAAACCCAAGGAGCAAATGCTAGTCGCGAGGCCGAAGTCGCGGCTGCCCGAAGGATCTCCGCAGCCCCGCGTGCGCGATCCTTAAATACCCTCCGGGATGCTCGTGTGAGTGTGTGAGTGCGCGCGCGCTCCGAGCACGACGTCCCTCCCCCGACCCCTCCCGGCACCCGGCGTCCGGCCCGCAGCTCGCACTGCTGCGCGCCCCTCTTCCCCCGCCAAAGCCCGAGCCCGCCTCATTATCATAATGTATTCACCTTGGCCCAGCCCGCAGGCCGGCCCAGGGGACCCCCCAGGGGGCGGGAAGCTTGGGTGGGAGCGGAGCAGGAGGTCTGTGATTAGCATAATACATGCAAATCGCGGGAGCGGCCACCGTGATTGGAGAGGCGCCTGGCGACCCCTCCCCCTGCGTTGCGCGGAGTAACTTCAGCGTCCCCGAAGGCCACCTCTCCGGCCTGGGCCAGGGGCCGGAGCGGGGTCTGCTGCTCAGGAGGCGGCAACTTTGGCTGATACTGACTCAGCCCAGCGCCCCCTCTTTATCCCACTTAAAAACGGAGAAATGGCCTCCGAGAGGAAGAAGTGCAGCAGAACGCTCTATCTCTCCTGATCTTCACTCAAAAGCAGCCGCAGGAGCTCTCGCTATCTCGCTCTGGTGCAGCGTTTTTCCCTCCTCCCTCCCTTTCCCACATGCCCAGAGGCAAAGTGTCTGGCCAACGTCTGAGGTACATTTCCCCACTTCCCCTCTCTTCCCACGGCCGCGCCGCAGATTCTCCAACGAGATGAAGTTTTCTCTCCCCTCCCCCAGTTTCCTTGTCTTGACGGGACTGAGTCTCCTCCCAGCTCTGTATTCCTAGTCTATACTAGGGTGCTAATGTGTTTTCCTGATTCCCTGTTTTGCGGGATTGGAAAAGGGAGTGTTGAAGTATACACATTTCTCAGGATTTAGGAAAGGAATGAAGAATGAAGTCAGTTTTTCCTCTTACCTGACTCTCTTCGTGCTGTTCCCTCTGGATCAAATTACAAGATCTCTAATGGGATTTTGGAAAGTTGGTAACAAGTAGCATTAGACATCTAATTGACTTTGGGGAAAACAGAAATCCCACCTCTTATTCCAAAGAGTTCCTTCGTATCTCCCCATAAAAAATACCGTATATTTTTCCTAGTCTTCTTATTCAAGCTAATCTGAAGTCATTGCTTACTATTGTAAACAATCAACAAAATACTTCACTAACCTGGTCTTTCACATGTGGGAACAGATATCGCTAGGTATGAAGCAAGGTAAAGAAATAATAACATTAGAGGAGGAAACAGACTAACATTGGAGGAAAATGCAATGAATTTTGCTGTGAAGTCAAAACCATAATTCATTTGTATCACATATCACACAGCGGTTCTCAAAGGATGGTCCCAGACCCATAGCATCAGCATCACCTGAGAACCTATACAACATTTCAATTCTAGGTTCCTTCCACAGATCTGAATCAGAAACTGCTACTACCACTACTGAAATAAAAAACACAGCAACCTGTGTTTTAACAAGCCTTCCAAATGATTCTGATATATACTAGAGTTTGGGAACCACTGGTATAACACTTTCCAAAATATTTTCCAGTACATTTTTTTATTTGAACCTCATAACCCTACAATGTAAGTGAGGAATTACTGTTCCTTTTTTAAATATAAATCAAATTTTTAAATAAATTTTTAAATAAAGAGATAAATTTCAAGTCACATTTAAATGTGATTAAACATGTTTCCAATAACAGGACCCAAATAATGGGTACAAACGTTTTAACGCACCAACTCTTTCCGTGACCTCTAACTATTTGTTACTTTCCTTTGCAGGCTTTTCCTCTGTCATTTCTCTGAATGTTGGTGCTCCTTGGGTCTCTGTCTTACTCCATCTTCTCTTCTCTGTCCACTCTCTCCAGTAGAGTTCCCAATGGCTGTGATTACACTGATGAGTCATAAATTCCTATCAAATGCCCAGACCTCTCTCCTGAACCTCAGATCCATATAGCCAGTTGCCTCTTTGCCATCTCCATTTGGATGTCCCAGTCTCATTTCCAACTGAACCTGCAGCTTACCTCCAAACTCTAGTCTGCTTCCTCTGTTTCCCATCTCAGCCAGTGGAGTTGCCATCCATGCAGCCTCCTCAAGCCAAAATACCCAGTAGTCAGCCCTGACTTCTCCCTTACCCTCCTCTCCTCAATAGAGTCCTTCAATACTTCCGGTTGTCCTTAGGACAAAGATCTTATGTCTTTCAACCCCCACAACACACACTCTTGTCTACCATCTCACCAGCCTCATTGCTCATTCTTCCTCTCAAACTCTCTGCATCAGCTTCTCTAAAGTACAGAGACAATAAGAATAAAGAGCTTTTTCTTTTGGACAACATACCACTCTTAAAATTTCGAAGAAAAGCCATTTTTTCTGTCTTGACTGATGGCTACAGTAGATTACACATTTAATTTGGATGATGCAATGTTCCTACAGCATGCTTTGTGTTAATTGGCCATGAGAAGATACATTAACAACTCTTGCAAGCCCTTAGCACTATTAGATCTTAGTAAACAGACAGAGTTGGAATTTTGTGGCTTTAAGATCTTTATCCAGAGGATTAGATTTGCTTTATGTCTTTAGTGGGCACAATGCCTCAGAAATGTACCAGCCATTAGCGCTGAGATTTCAAAACCCAGTAGATTCTCTGCATCAAGCACAGAGAACATGTGGATCAACAGAGCTCTGAGGGTTTGAACGCATGTTGTTCTGTAGATTCATCAAAGCACAGTTGTTATTTTGGTTCCCATGTGGAGGCTTCAAAAAAGGTAAAAATAGTACTAAAAAAAATGCTATAGTCCAGCTGACTCCAATTTGCCTAATATCAATAGTATTAAGAGTAAAACACAAGCAGCTGGCTACAGGACAGGTATGCAGTGGGAAGAATAAGGGACACCCGAAGTTGTCCATGTCCTAATCTCCAAAACAGTGAATGTGTTACCTTGCATGCCAAAACAGATTTGCAGATATGATTCAGTTAAGGATCTTCAGCTGGGGAGATTTTCTTCAATTATGTGTGTGGGCTCAGCGCAGCACAAGGCTCCTTCTAAGGGGAAGGCAGGGTCTCAGAGTGAGAGGCTAGGTAACAACAAAAGCAGGGGTGAAAGTGATGTGAATACTGGCTTAGAAGATGGAAGGGGGTCACAAATCAAGGAATGTAAGCAGCTTCCAGAGTTACAAAAGACAAGGAACAAGTTCTCCCCTAGAGCCTACAGAAGGAACACACTCACTGTCAACACCTTGATTTTAGGACCTCTGACCATCAGAACTATAATTAATAATTTTCTGTTGTTTTAAACCACTAATTTGGGATAATTTGTTGCAAGAGCAAAGGAACCCAATATCATCATAATCACAAGAAATCAATGTTCATCTGCTACTGTATCATGAGTGATACTGAAAGCACCATAATGCCCTGTAACTCAAGCAGTCCCCGTAGTAACAAATCCCTGTCTCTCAAAAGTTTATACATTTCTATTTCATTGCCCACTGGGAAAGTATCAGAGAGCTATGCCTTCTCTCATGTCATGTAAAATTAGGATGCCCTTTATGAAGGCATATTAAACTGAATAAAATAAGTTCTGTTTCCTTGATGCATCCCATTAATGCAACTCAAAAACAATAAACCAGCCAAGCTGTACAGTCCCTCTCATCTCTCCTCCCTACTAATGCTAGCCTAGCCAGGATCCTGACCCAGGACTCAGCATTGCTACAAATACTGTTTTATTTTATTTTATTTCATTTTATTTTATTTTATTGAGACTGTACAGAGACAGTCTTGCTCTGTTGCCCAGGCTGGAGTCCAGTGGCATGATCATGGCTCACTCCAGCCTGAACCACCTGGACTCAAATGATCCTCCCATCTCAGCCTCCTGGGCAGCTGGGACCACAGGTACTCATCAGGCTAATTTTTTATTTTTTGTAGAGATGGGGTCTCACTGTGTTGTCCAGGCTGGCCTCGAACTCCTGGGCTCAAGTGATCCTTCTGCCTTAGCGTCCTAAAGTGCTGGGATTACAGGCATGAGCCACCACACCCAGCCCACTGCTAGTACTATTGTTAACAGTCTTCCACGCCAGAAAAAATGAAATAAAGGCTAATGACAGAGAGTCACATCAGGAAGTTAAAGTAAGAAAGAAAGCACCTGGAGAAAGAGCAAGAAAAGATAAAGGGAAAAATAGAGACAGAAGAAAGGAGCTTTTTAAGTGGGTAGAAGTGTTCATTTAAAAAAAAAAAAAAAAAAAAAAAAAAAAAAGAATGCATGGTTTATTACAGCCAGCTAGATGTCTTAAGGAAAAAAGTTCTTGCTTATTCATTTAAAAAAAAAAAAAAGACATAATCCATTCCTATATGCCTCTAAGAGACTAATCTTTAAAGGAGATAAAGCATAGAAGTGAGGAACTAGCATATATTAAAATTTCTGGTGGTTTATGTGTATTTAGAAAGATTATTTGCCCGAAGTAAATAGCTGAAATAATCATGGTATGCTCTTTTCAGATATTAACTACATTGCAAAAAAAAAAATCAGTTTCATTAGAAAATATATTTTAGCAGCATTAATTTTTGAGTTTTTTATCACCACAATTTTAGACAAAGTTCACCAAAAAAGCTATCAAGCAGAAGTGAATGTATGAAGAGATTTGTGGCCATATTTATATACCCACAATCACCCATTGTGTCCACTAAGTACCTTAATAAAGAAAATGGGAGAACGTATTGTGTATAGCACTAAGCATGTTATTTTACATTCTTCAGATGAGTATGTGAGCTCATGGAAATATCTTTTAAGAAGACAAAGTTTCCTAAAGAGAATGGAGGAGGCAGCAAAGAGTTAACTGAGCTGAAACTTAAAAGATGCGGTTCTCCCATAGCCAGGCAAATTTCAATAAATCATAAACAAATTATAAATATCTTTAGAAGCAGAAGAGCAAAAAAGAAGGATTTGGCTCTTGGTGACAGGCTGAAAAATTCTTTTTCAAACAGATCAAGGAACTGGTCCCATTTATACAAGCCTGGTTAAGCAAGGGGCTTACAACTGTATGAATGCAATAATCTGGATAATACAAGCCCTCCAAAATATAAATCCTCTATGCAGAGTCAGTTTTATGTTTGTTGTTTGT